GATACTCTTTCATTGCTCTGCCTCTCTGTACCTCCCCCAACCCAGCCATCCCCTCCCCTTTAGCCCCATCCCCAGTTTACCCAGGAAATCTCATATATTTCCCCTTCCCAGTGTGGTTCATTCCTCCCTCTTAGGATTCTTGTTAGTACCTGGCTTCTCTAGGGCTGAGGATTATAGCCTGATTATCTTTGCTTTACATCTAATATCCACTTGTAAGTGAGTACACAATGTGTCTCTCAAGGTCTGTGTTACCTCACTCAGGATGATTTTTTTTCTAGTTCCATCCATTTGCCTGCAAATTTTATGATGTTATTGTTTTTTACCTCTGAGTAATACTCCGTTGTATAAATGTACCACATTTTCTTTATCCATTCTTCAGTTGAGGGGCATCTAGATTGTTTCCAGGTTCTGACTACTATAGATAATGCTGCTATGAACATGATTGAGCAAGTATTCTTGTGGTATGGTATTTGCCCAAGAATGGTATTGCTAGGTCTTGAGGTAGACTGATTCCCAGTTTTCTGAGAAACTACCAAACAGATTTCCAAAGTGGCTATACAAGTTTGCACTCCCACCAGCAGTGAAGGAGTGTTCCCCTTACTCCACATCCTCTGCAGCATGAGCTGTTTTTGATATTAGCCATTCTGACAGGTATAAGATGGAATCTCAGAGTCGTTTTGATTTGCATTTCCCTGATGGCTAAGGGTGTTGAGCAATCCTTGAATGTCTTTCGGCCATTTGAGATTCTTCTGTTGAGGATTATGTTTAGATCTTGTACCCCGATTTTTAATTGGATTATTTGGTATTTTGATGTCTAGTTTCTCGAGTTCTTTATAGATTTTGGAGATCAGCCCTCTGTCAGATGTGGGGTTGGTGAAGATAATTTCCCATTCTGTAGGCTGCTGTTTTGTCTTATTAAACATGCCCTTTGCCTTATAGAAGCTTCTGGGTTTCAGGGGGTCCCATTCAGTGTCTGTGCTACTGGAGTTATATTTAGAAAGTGGTCTCCTATGCCTCTGTGTTCAAGGCTACTTCCCACTTTCTCTTCCATCAGGTTGTGTAACTGGATTTATGTTGAGGTCTTTGATCCTTTTGGACTTGAGTTTTGGGCATGGAGACAGATAATGGATCTATTTGCATTCCTCTTCATGTTGACATCCAGTTATGCCAGCACCATTTGTTGAAAATGCTTTCTTTATCCATCATATAATTTTGGGTTCTTGGTCTCCTGTTTGCCATATCATTACAGAAGAGATATAGAAGACAACTGGACAAGATCACTGGCAGCAATCTTAAAAGGCATGGGATCCATTTTAGAACCACTGGGATCCATCTTGCATCAGGGGCAATCTTGAAGTCATGAGGGTCATTGTGGACTCATAGAAGCCATCTTGGAATCAAGGAACATCATTCAGTAGACAGTACATATCTGTAACCCTAGTATTGGTGGTAACTAGGGCGGAAACAAGCGGATCCTCAGAGCTCACTGGCCAGCCAATCTAGCCAATTGATGAACTGTAGATTTAGCAAGAGAAAATGTCTCAAAAAATAAAGTAGGAATCAATTAAAGATATACAATGTTAGCCTCTGGCTTCCACACGCATACACACATGTGTACATGCACATACACACACATAATAATCTTCCAATCTGTGAACATGGAGTACCTTTCCCTTCAGTGTCTTCAGTTTCTTTCATCAATAGTTTATCTTCATTATAGTTTGTTTCCCTTGTCAATTTTATTATAGGTTTTGGGGTTATATTTATTTTTGTAACTCTTATTATTCTCTTGATTTTTCTACTTGTTTATTACTCATGTAGAGATATGCTTGCTAATTTGATAAGTCAATCTTACATTCTGCAACTTAACTGAACTTCTTTTCAGTCCTAACAGGTTTTTAGCTGTGTCTTTAGATTTTTCTTTGTGTAAGATCATGCTAGGCCCCCAAGATAGCTCACTAGGTAAGGTGATTGCTGTCAAGCCTTAAGAACCGAATTTGATTCTAGAACCTTTATGACAGGACCCAAATATGCACATGTGATGGGGAGGATCTTGGAGGAATTGGAGGAGGGGGAAAGGCATAACCAGAATATACTACATTTAAAAAAATTGTCAGAAAAAAACTGTAAAATTTAAAAATAAAAATTTAAATTCATGCTATTTGCAAACAGAAATAGAGTCCTCTTTCTGTAGACCCAACACCTCTCCCGGGCAGCACAGTAAAGCTGACCCTATTGACAGAGGTTCGGGTGAGAACATGAGCATGGGCGATCCCACCCCTCATCTGCCATGTGATGGCGCGGGCAGGGAAGAGATGCCCTCCTCCCCCTCACTGCCTGTGGCAGGTGGGAGAGCTGGCCCTGAGGTTATAAGATCAGGAGAGTTAATCCTGCCCCTCACCACCTGCAGCACTACAGAGAATGGCCCCTACACCTCACCTGGGCAACACAGTAGAGCTGCCCTGATGGTATAGGTGTGGGAAGAACCAACCCTGAGGGCATGAAAGCAAGAGAACTGGCTCCTCCCCTTGCTCATTGCTCCAAGGGATGAACTAGCCAGGGCAATGCTGGAGAACTCAACCTGGAGGTGAGGATGGGGGAAGAGCCAGCATGCTGACCAAGCCAGCAATTATTTAGACCCAGAACCAGGGCTATGAGTTGGCCCACCCCATCTGTGATCTGCTGGAGCACCTGAAGGGGCCAATCCTGCAGACCCAAAGCTGCAGGACCTCCATGACACAGGGCAACAACAGGATAGCCAGGAGTCGTCCATGTGAGGGACCAGCATCAATAGTGTATTAGAACCTGACCAATAACACTTTGCAATGAACACTTGCACATAAAGATACATGGATAAAACGGTTTACTGTGGGACTCGCTGTGCCACACGACAGCTTCCATGATGAGATTTTTCTTTTTCTTTCTCTTAAATGTTATTCTATTTTATGGGGGGGAGGGGGGTGCAAAGGCAGAGGGCAGGAAATGGGTAGGATTGAGATGCAAGATGTGAAAGTCACAAAGAATAAATAAAAAGAAAGTTTAAAAGATATTTTTTTTTAAAAAAAGGTCCTCTTTCTGATTTGGGTGCCCCCATTTCTTTCTCTTGCCTAATTTCTCAGGCTAAGCCTTCTGGAACAATAAAAACAGCCAAAGTTAGTTCTCAGAAGAAATGCTTTCAATTTTTCCCATTTAATATGGCGCTACCTGAATTTACTACATATGAAACTAAGTTGAGGCAAATTCTTGCTAAACTTTTTCAAGTTTTTATTATTGGAGGATGTTAAATTTTATCAACTACTTTTACCATGTTTATTGAAATGATGGTGGTTTTGTCTCACAGGTGTGTTAATTCATGTGTCAAAACATTCTCAAATCCCTTAGGATAAATTTCATGTGACTACAGTGTATAATCCTTTTCTGAAATGCTATTCAATTCACTTTTTAGTATTTTAAATTCTTATACATTTAATTTTGAGACAGTCATACACCCCCCCAGGCTGGCCTCTAACTCAGCTTGATGATGAGGATGGCCTTGAACTGATCCTCCTGCCTGCTAGCAAGTGCTGGAATTACATGAATGTGTCACCGTGCCCTGCTCTAAAAGTATAGTGTAGGCTGGCCTCAAACCAGTGAGCCCCCTGTCTCATCCTCTTTATCATTTGTCTACCAGGATACACTACCATGGCCTGCAGAAGTATTCCCCTGCTCTCACTGTTCATGATGAGACCTGCTGGCTCTGACATCTCCTGCTGTCCTCTCAATACCAATAGCCCTCTTGTGTTCAGATTCCTGGAAGTCGGAAAAACATGCCAATGAGTTATCACTTCAACATCCCAGAAAACATTCCATACAGCACAGTTCCATTTCTGGGAATTAGCCCACATTTTATTATACATATACAGTACATTCATGTAAGTTCCTGCATTTCAAGGTAACCAGATCACATCCCGGTTAGCACTTCTGGTAATAAAATCATACAATGACTCTGGCTTCAAAAACAAGGTGTGGTGGCGTGCAGGACTATGTCTTCCCTTTAATACTGCAGATGACAATTCACCACAAAACAAAGTAATATCTCCAAAACCCACGCCCAAGATCCAGTGTGTAGGCATTATTACCTATATTATAATTAAACCGTATGAGACATGAGAGAAACCAAACTATTTCAAAGATCTAAAATCCCCCAACAATGCAATCTTTCCCTTCTAACTGTTGGGGGACATGCAGCTTTGGTGCCCTGAAAAAAAAAAAGGGGCGATGAAAAATACAGGGTCATCTCACTTTGAAATGTATGGCTTCTCAAGATACTTCTGGGGGGGGAAAATTAAATAACCTAAATTTTTTACAAAGAGTAAGGGTTGGTAATTCAGGAAGCACCTAGAAAATTCTGCCAGTTGCTGATGGAAATTTTAACTGCAGATATTTCAGGGAAAAACAATGTGTATCACATCCAGAAATAACGTCAAGTCCTGATGACATATATGACATATTTCCATTTTGCCAAATGAAAGCACTGTGGTTCATGTTCTGCATTTGAACAGTTGAGGAAAATTCATCTGCAATACTGACATCACTCACCTATACACCCAGCTG